CCCTTCCTCCCTGCAAATCCATGCAGGGCAGCCCCCCCCCAGGCCTTTCTGGGGGTGAACAAACCCGCTGTCCAACTGGGCATTTAGAGATGTCGTCCCCTGTGGGCAAATGGGCGAGAGAGGGAGGGGGAAGACTGCGTCCACCCAGCTGTGAATCTGGGGAGAGGGGCTTTTCTGGGGGGCTGCATCTTACATGTCGAAAGTCAGTGGAAAGTGCCATTTCATTTATGGATGAGGGCCCCTTGAGAACAGAGGACCCCCCCAAAAAAAATCTCAGAGGCCTATAAAGGAGGTTGGGTCCCTCTGGGCCTCCTGGCTCATTCCCGCCTGGCACAGACCGCCTTGGGGGAGGCAGGATCTCCCCCTCCTGGCAGCCACAGCCTTGAGGCCTCCATCCGAGACCCCCGCCTCCCCCTCCCCCCTCTGGTGGGAACAAGGATGCCTCTCCTTCCCTGGGGGAGTCCACTTCCCTCCTCCATTGGCTGGGATAGACTTTTTTTTTTATTGAAAAGTTTTATAAAAGTTACAATATAAACCCCAAAACCCACCCACCCTAAACCCCCCCTCTCCCTCCCCCACTTCCCAGAGCTGAATACAGGGTTACAAATATAATAATCATAATCTAACTAACATTAACCAACTACATAAATAACCAAGTCCATAATGCGCTTTAACTCCCCTTTAACATAAATATAATAATAATAATTAAAACATAAACAAATTAGTATCCTAATTATTAACAATAAAGTATCCATATTGTTAAACAATACTAATACTAAAATAATAATATCATATAATTAAAACTAATAAAAATTTCACTATAATAAACTATTAATACTGATAATACTCTAAAATTTACTCATAGGCTAAATGAAACTTTTTAGTCCCATATTTATTCTGAATATAATCTATCCATTTTCTCCAAACCGAAATGTATCTTTCTTGTGAGTGATCCTTCAAATAGGCAGAAATCTTAGCCATTTCTGCTAAATTTGACACTTTAAGCGTCCATTCTTCTATAGTAGGCAAGCAATCCTTCTTCCAATATTGCCCTACTAATAACCTTGCAGCTGTTATCAAATTCAACATCAAGTTAGTTTCTTTAATATCACAATC